ACGGGCTGGGAGATTAGCTGATGGGGCGGCGGCGGCGACCTGGCTGTGATGCGCGTACCCTAGTGGTGCTCGTTCATTTCCGGTAGCTGGGAGTGAGCGTAAGCTGCGGTGGAGTCAAAAACCGAGCAATGAACGAGGCCTTCCCTGCCTCAGAAGTCCCCACTACTCTTTATTTACTTACTTTCTGGCGGCTAATTGGAACGTGTCAGCGCTTCGTTTAGGTAGGAGAGATCTAAGCAAGGCGTTTCCTTCCATGGAACTGTCGGTAGGTTTCAGGGTTCACAGTGGTGCGCTTACATTTGGCTGTTGGTTTTTTTTTTACTTAGGGTCAAAGTCAGAGTGGTGGACACGGGCCTGGTGGCGGCAAGAAGGATGACAAGGTAACTGAAAACCAAACGTGCTTTTACTTGCAGGAGGAACCGCAGGTGGGCCGCCACAGCAGCTGGCTGCAGGAGGCTTTATTTTGCGGGGTGTTTTTTGTTCTTGCGCTCAGAACTGCATAAAATAACGCTTTTGAAATGTCTCTTCGGGATGCACACTGGAGAAAACAGGCTGCTGCCTGAAAACAGAAAAGGGGGCCTAACTGTAAAGGAGAACTGAAGTTGACGGTGGTAATTTGTTTTTAAAAGGAATAAAACTATAAATCTGCCTGGGTTAGGAAACGCTAGTTTCCTTCAAGCTGTCACCTAAGTAACTAGTTTTGGCTTGAAAATGACATACTGTCGTCTGTGTAAGGTCTGTACTTCGTGCTGTGAGCCATTAGAGGCCTTTCCCGTTCTTTTTGGAGGCGGAAGCACGGGTACATGGAGAGCTGTGTCTCAGCTGGCAGGCTGCACGCGTGATAGCTGCTGATCAAAACGCAGCAGAAACGTTCAGAGTCGGCATTGTCCTCATCCTTTCACGTACGAGATTTGTTTGTGATTTACTTCAGGCTTTACCCTTCCGTGTTCTATATTTGCTCAAAACTGGCAGAAATCTAACTTAAAAGGAGGGATGTGAAAAGGGCAGGAGGAGAAACATTTGCATTTTCACAGAAAATAACATTGTGGCGGGGCTTCTCGCTACGTCTCATAAATTCTTCGGGTCACAGTACAGCCGCAGTTGAGCGCTCTCTCAGCCCATGCACCTAACGTCTGTGTGGTTCTTTTCCTTGTTCATGGCCTGGGTTTGGTGTTTTTTTTTTTAATGGAATTCTTTTTATGAATAAGGATAAGAAGAAGAAATACGAACCTCCAGTTCCAACCAGAGTGGGGAAAAAGAAGAAGAAAACGAAGGGGCCAGATGCCGCCAGCAAACTCCCCCTGGGTAAGCGTTCTGCCTGCCCCAGCAGCGCTGCCCTGCCGGCTCTTGGAGAGGTGCAGCACCGCCCTCTCCCCCAGCTTGGGCTCTGTGTAGGTTGCAGATGATTAAACGGAGGAGCAAATGTGATTTTATTTCTGATTAACACAAAGTAAGATTATTGTTACGCAAGAGATGGCCCGTGAATTCCTGGGTAAGAGAGAGAGGGAAACTGAAGAGAAATGCCGAGGAAACATGATCTTGAAAAATGTTTTTTACCTGGAATTGCAGTAGGGCAGTTGAAGTAGCGACTGCTGCTCGCTGGTGATGAAACCCGTGAGTAGCTGGTAGCATGGCACACTTGGTCTAAACCACTGCAATTCTACTTCCATTCCAGTGACTCCTCACACGCAGTGCAGGCTCAAATTGTTGAAACTGGAGAGAATTAAAGATTACCTCTTAATGGAGGAAGAATTCATCAGGAATCAAGAGCAGATGAAACCTTTGGAAGAAAAACAAGAGGTGAGGTTTGCGTGAACTGCTGCTTCTAATACTGCCGGAAGTGCTCTAGTGTAAACTGCTTCAGACAAAAGCATGGAATGAAGGGCCATGGATGTGTAAGTCTGTGCAAACATACTGTGTATATTACGCTTCTTCATTACATCTCAGTTACTGTCCAGGGCACAGGATTTTTTTCTAGTGGTTTAATGGTTTTAGTCCAAGCACGGGTTACTGCAGATGAGGCCACAGTGGTTTTTTGTTTCTTAGTGGTCAGTCGGAGTGCAGCTCCCAGATACCCATTGGTGCAGAAAGAAAGAACGTTCTAGAGACACACATCCATATAGTAGCATCCATAGGATAGGACTGAAGTAACAGTGGATTTTGTTACGGGCCTGTAGTGGCCTTCTGAGGTGGCCAAACAATACCAAAGACTGGTTCTGTTGAGCCAGTGTTGCACGAAATGTTTTTGCCTGTGTTCTTGAGCTGTGTCTTGGGTTGTTCTTGACGACAGGAAGAAAGATCAAAGGTGGATGATCTGAGGGGAACGCCAATGTCCGTGGGAACCTTGGAGGAGATCATTGATGACAACCATGCTATCGTGTCCACCTCAGTAGGCTCGGAACACTACGTCAGCATTCTGTCTTTTGTGGACAAGGATCTGCTAGAGCCAGGCTGCTCCGTTTTGCTAAACCATAAGGTGAGTTGTTTTTACAAAGTGAAGCACAAGTTCTTAGACTGTTCTTAACTGACCTTTTTTTCTGAGAACCACAGGATCGTAGGGTCCGAGAGCTAATGCTGTTTATTTCACATACCGAAATAGATGGGCATTGGGTTGAGGCTTGAGCTTGTATTCATAATGCTGTTTGCTTTCTCTCTGACATCTCTTCATGCTTGAATTAGGTTCATGCTGTGATAGGAGTCCTGATGGATGACACAGACCCATTAGTTACCGTGATGAAAGTGGAGAAAGCTCCTCAAGAAACGTATGCGGACATTGGTGGCCTTGACAACCAGATTCAAGAAATCAAGGTACTGGGTTGTACGAACTACACTGGTCAGTATGCTAGCAGCATAGCTGTGGTGCTGGGCGCTCGGAAGCGGGGCAGCAGGACCAACTGCTGTTCACCTTGTGTTCTTCTGTGTCTTGCTGTGGCGCGTTTCTTCATTTGCTTTTGCCAGGCAGATTCACGGAGCCAAATCTCCTCAGTGGGTCGTGCGCCCGTTCACAAACCGTACACACCGAAACCTTTACAGTTGCAGGATCTCATACAGCCCTGAGCTCGTAACACTTCTGCAATAACTTAGTGCTTTGCAGCGTGTGAAGCTATTGATTGTTGGAAGATGAGGGTTAAACCGTAAACAGTGCAGAGGTGGTTTTGAGCGATGCCGTGCAATCTGAGGATTTAGTGGGTAGGAGTCTTTTGTTCTGTGTCGGCGTGTGGTTGGTTGGTTTGGTTTTGTTGTCCCCCTACCAGCAGGGCTCGACCTGAACCCTGGTAAAGGTCAACCCTTTTGCTTTGGTCCAAAATCACAAATGCTGTTAAAATAGTGATCTGTAGTATCCGGTAAATCATGGTAGAAGGCAGCTTTTCATAAAGGGTGCCCCCCCTAAGTCCTCCTTGGGAGTCTGGGAGTCAGGAACTCTGGGCTTCTAAACTCAGCGTGAGGTGTTTAGGTTGGAGGAGGGGGAACACTCCCTGCTTCTCTCCCACAAGTGGAAGCAACAGGAAGACCTGTTTGGATAGAGTAGGTGGCAGCCTTAGAACTGGGGGCAAGAGAGAGACATGCTTCCCGAGGTCTGTCACGAAATCAGTTGAGTTCATTTATTGATGCTGTTCTCGAGATCCCCACGGAACCTCTGCGGAGAGGGCTTACTCTTCATAAAAGCTCAGGTTGGTTTTTCTTGCACTGCAGGAGTCTGTGGAGCTTCCTCTCACCCACCCTGAATATTACGAAGAGATGGGTATAAAGCCACCCAAAGGAGTCATTCTGTACGGCCCCCCTGGCACAGGTATCTTACAGTAAAGCACTGCCAAGTCTCATGGAGTTGGTGGGACTGGTTTGTTAAAGCTCTTCCCTCCCCTCCAACTACTTACAGATTTCTTTCCAACGACGTGTAGGTAAAACTTTACTAGCCAAAGCAGTGGCAAACCAAACTTCAGCAACCTTCCTGAGAGTGGTGGGTTCAGAGCTCATACAGAAGTACTTGGGTGACGGCCCAAAGCTCGTGCGCGAACTGTTCCGTGTGGCTGAAGAGCATGCTCCGTCCATTGTCTTCATTGATGAGATCGATGCCATCGGTACAAAGAGGTACGGCATTCCAGCTCCCACTGCACACGCAAGTATTCCAGGGACAACATTACTGCACAGCTAGCCTGAAGCTCCAGTATCAGGCAGCTTCTGCGCTGAGTATTTCAGCATCTGTGGATTGAACTGATGGCAAAGTGCTTAATATGCAGAATTCTTCAGAAATGTTACGTTGCTTCAGACTGTTCCTAAATGTGGGCGAGCGGGTGTGGATGTGGGTTATCGAGTCTGATGTTAGCCAAGTGAAGTAGCTATGCTACAGAGCAGAGAAACAACCGCTGCTACCTGCGTCTCAGGAAGAGAAGAGTTAAACCAGGAGCCAGAGTAGTAAGGCTGAGGAGGATGGTTACAACTGCGTGCATACGGAAAAACTCCGAAAGGGAAAAAGGAGTAACAAGCTGTATTTATTATGAAGTAGATGCTTGTGCTTTTATGAATTAGGGGTTTTTCCTTCTTTGTGTTAATTTGTTGGGTTTGTTAGGGGGAAAAAAAAGAGATTTCCAAATATGTAACTGTGCTGTTTTTGATTGGCATTGAGTTAATTTTCCTCACAATAGCCAGGATGAGGCTATGTTTTGGATTTGTGCTGAGAAGATTTTTGACAGCACACTAATGTGCTTAGTCATTGCCAAGCAATGTTGGCATTAAGGCAAGGACTTGTTCAGTTTCTCACGCTGCCCCTGTGCTGCCAGCTCCTTCCCTGCCCGCAGCTGGGAGGGGACACAGTCAGCACGGCAGACCCAAACTGACCAATGGGGTATTTCGCTGCTGTTACTTTCCCCAGCTACAAGAATATTCAGTGTCTCTTTCATTATGTAGATGTCACAGTGTGATTCCAAAAACCTGCTGTTTATTTTCTATGGGTAAACATTAAATTAAAAAACCCAAACCCGGTAGGGGTGTTTAGAAAACCCAGAACCACCACACATGGTTTTCTGTTTATGTTTGTGGCTGTGAGTAGTGCTTTTTCTGACTGTGCTGTATTCTTAAAGGTACGACTCAAATTCAGGCGGCGAGAGAGAGATCCAGCGTACGATGCTGGAGCGGCTGAACCAGCTGGATGGGTTTGACTCACGGGGGGATGTTAAAGTCATCATGGCTACAAACAGAATAGAAACGCTGGACCCAGCTTTAATTAGGCCAGGTAAGAGACTTCCCGCTGCGTATGCCGAAGTCCCTTTTCGGGTGAAAGGATGTGTAACTTGTCGAACGTGGGCTGGTGAAAAGGCAGCAAGTTGCTGGCTTGTCTCTATCCACCATCTCGTCTGTTAAAACCGGAACCTGTTCGCAAGTTTCCAGATGGGAGAAGTGGAAGAGAGGAGATGTGTTAACTCCTCCCTGGGCATACGTGAATGAGGTGAATGTTCTTCCCCTGTGGTAGGATGGCCTGGCTGTTTGAAGTGACCGTTGAGGCAAGCTGTGCTGCAGCAGCAGGGCAAGGTGGGGCAGTACCACTTGTGCTTCGTAGGTGAGAACTGAAGCTGTTAACAATGAGCACCTGGATTTTGATGTGAGGAAAGCAGGCTGCTTCCTTCCCAAGCTGGAATATGACTACCCTTTGGTGGATGAGAGGGAGAAGTAGTACCTTGTTTTGACATGTGTTGAGCCAAGAGCTTGAACGGGCTCGAGAAGTGTTTTTAAATGTCTGCTAAAAATGGACCAGAACATACATGTGTGGGGTCTGCTACACCAGAAGGTAGAAAGCAAGAGATCAAAGGAATAACCTGAGCCTCCCGTTAGTGTCCTCAAGTAAATCCCGAGGACTGAAGAGGTTGTAAAGATACCCCTTCTAAAGTAACAGAGGTGAGAGAGAGAGTAAAGATAATTTGAAATTGTCAAAGAACTACTCTGAGCAGTCAGTAAGACTGGATGGACCCAAGGAGATCAGGGGAAAAACCTCCATGGTATGAAGTCACTCAGGTGCGTTTGTGGTTTTTAAGAAGTCTGGTAGTGTCAGCATCTCTCCCCCTCTACTCTGCTCTTGTGAGACCCCACCTGGAGTGCTGTGTCCAGCTGTGGAACCCACAACATAAGAAGGATATAGGCTGGTTGGAGCGAGTCCAGAGGAGGCCACAAAGATGCTCAGAGGGCTGGAGCACCTCTGCTGTGATGAAAGGCTGAGAGAGTTGGGCTTGTTCAGCCTGGAGAAGAGAAGGCTCCGGGGAGACCTTATAGCACCTTCCAGTACCTGAAGGGGCTACAAGGAAGCTGGGGGGGACTTTTTACAAGGGCCTGTAGTGACAGGACAAGGGGTAACGGGTTTAAATTGAAATCAGGGAGGTTTAGATTAGATATCAGGAAGAAATTATTCATGGAGAGGGGGTGGTGAGGCACTGGAACAGGCTGCCCAGAGAAGCTGTGGATGCCCCATCCCTGGAAGTGTTCAAGGCCAGGCTGGATGAGGCTTTGAGCAACCTGGTCTAGTGGAAGGTGTCCCTGCCCATGGCAGGGGGGTTGGAACTAGATGGTCTTTAAGGTTCCCTCCAACCCAAACCATTCTGTGATTCTATGAACTCAGAAGCGGAGCACGGGGGAGGGAATACTACACCAGTATTCAAAGGCAAGCTAAGCTGATCTGAAATTTGTTGGAAGGAAACATCCTATGCCCATCGGGTATTTGAACCGTTGCTTGAGCCACCGGGGCACTTCTCACAGCTGGGTGGGCTGATGCCCCACTGTGTACAAGTGTGGGATATCGTATGTGGTGCCATCGACCCTTCTGAGAAAAGATACTGTAACCTGAAGAAAACCAGGAGTGAGCTGGAGATGGAAAATACCTTTGGAAAGATTGCTGGCTGAAGTTGGAACAGTGAGTACCAGCACACCCGAGGTCCCTGCTGACAGAAGGAGACATCCGGTAGGGACTTGCAGCAGAGCTCATTACACAGAACCTTCGTTCCTCGCCTAGGGTGGTTACGGAGGAAGGAAGAGTCCTTCAGGTTGCCACAGCAGTTTATTTTGTGTGGATGCATGTGCAGCAGAAAATGAAACTTCAGAGCTAAATGTAATCTGAGAGTAGCATAAAACTGATTACAAGAACACGAGTATTTCACTAACCCTTTCCTGTGCCGTGTGGGTTTTCATATGTACACGTGGCTCGAGGAAAGTTTTACGTGTTTCCCAGGTGAGGTGTCTCTCACCTGCACTGACGCTGCTTTTTCAGCAGCAGCCTGGCCTCTTTAGCTCCAGTACCTCCTGTTCATTGTAGACACTGATCTCACTCCCTACTCCGACACAGTTACAGTCAGGCTAACCTTGAAACGTTCTTCCTGCTCCAGTAGCTGCCTGCAGAAACCTCACACCGAACTCTTCCCTTGCACAGGACGTATCGATAGGAAAATCGAGTTCCCTCTACCCGACGAGAAGACCAAGAAGCGCATCTTTCAGATTCATACGAGCAGGATGACGCTGGCAGATGATGTGACTTTGGATGAGCTGATCATGGCGAAAGATGACCTCAGTGGTGCAGACATTAAGGTGAGTGACATCACCGTGGTTAATACTTCAAAGCACAAATCTGATCTCGTTTTTACTGCATCCAGAAGCATTGGCTGCTTCTGATTACCTGTGGTTACGTCACCAAGGGACAGCTGGAGGGCTTTAAAATCCCTTCTGTGAGTGCCAGTACTCACCTTTACCAATGGGAAGCTTATCAGAGTCAGAATTACGGGGTAGTTTTTGTCAGTCAGATTATGTACCTCTGTTACCTCATTTAAAAGTAGCAAAGTGGAATTCAGAAGAGGAATGTGGGCTCTTGTAGAAACACGCAAGATATCTTAAACATTACTGAAGACAGTGCAGGATAAGGAGCGTTTTTAGAGACTGTGTTGCACATGAAAACAAACTGTGGATTGGGAAGCTGCTTTTCTAAAGTAGACAGAGCCCTTGTGGGAGTTACCACACTGACGAGCGCGACCAGATGTGACGGATCGGCTCACTGCAGAGGGTAATGCAGCACACCATTACCAGAACGGGATGCGGCTGTTCCTCGCAGAGGGAAATACTGTTGTGACAAAGCTGCCTGTCTGTCATGAGACTGTTGCTCTGACTACAGGAGGAGACACTCAGTCTAGCTTTATCCTGTTTAAGTGCTTCAGTGCTCCTGAGCAGTATCCAACTTCAGAGTGTAAATTCCCTTAATGCTCTTCGCTTCCACTGGAGGCCAAGGGAGCGGTGTGAAGATGCCACTGTCCCACGAGGCGAGGCTTGACAGGGTGGCCCGGGGACTGTAACCTGTCCTTGCTTTCTCTGTTGCAGGCCATTTGTACGGAAGCTGGATTGATGGCTCTGAGGGAACGGCGCATGAAGGTAACGAACGAGGACTTCAAAAAGTCTAAAGAGAATGTTCTCTACAAGAAGCAGGAGGGAACCCCTGAGGGACTGTATCTGTAAGTCATCCTGTCCCTCTAGGAATGGCAGGAACTTACAGATGCCAGGAACTCTGGCATCAGTGCAGAAAAGTCTTGTGCAAAAACCTCCGTCTAGCTCATTTCCATGCTAGAAGAGGTTAAACCCTGGTGAGTGGTGGTTTTTCAGTCCGTGTAATGCTTTCTTTCCCAATAAAACATCTATTTGACCTGAACTGTTTTGATGGCCAAGACCTGCTGTTTACATGTGCCTTTCAGGTGCTGGTGCCCTGAGCCAGGCCACCCTGCGCGAGCACACTCAGCGTCCTGCGTCACAGCGGACTGAAAGCGCGCAGCACCGCCTTAAAGGTGCCCACCTCCACCTGGCTAGCGCGCTCACAAGGAAGCCAGGCAGGCCTGCCCCAGTATGCCCAGCGATGCAGACACGGCGTACGCTAGATCTGTGAGGTGCCTGGTACATTCCCAGTAATTCATTTCCGAATTAAGGCTTCTGCAAAGCTCTGTATGCAGCCCCCAGTTCAAGGACGTGCAGGCTTTGTTCTGGAAACCCTGTGGGAGCAAACGCTGGCCGGTACCAGACCCTGGGGAGTTACACACAGAGTGATCCCTTTGGTGACTGCCAGTGCTGTCACAACAATGACAGCAGCAAGGCCAAGAGATTTTGGGTTTCCATGTAAAAATTATGTGGTTCATTGTTAAAATGGACGAATGGAGTCTCTTATTTAATTTGGGTGACAGGGGCCCTGCCATAGAGTTGTTTTTCAGCTGGAGACAGAAGACCAAGCAGCAGAGCTTTATTACCCATTCTTAAGAAGTTTATGAGATGTGTCTCCTTGGGAAGGCCGCAAAAAGCCAGGGATGGCAGCTGATCTGATCATCACAGAGCTCTGTGACATGCGCTTTTTAGCTGGGACGTGGCAGTTAGTGCTGGCTGGAAGCATCAAGCCCGAAGAGGCCGGTTCAGCCGATGGACGGGAGGCTGCCACGCGTTAAGCTGGCCCGAGAACGGGCTCTGCTACGCTGTCTGCCACAACAGTCACTGGAAAAGGAGAGCCTTGCTCTCTCTGCGCTGTTTCTGATGGTACTGTTCAGCACACAGAGTAACGCCTACCCCGCTCCACTGCTCAGTCCTTTCTGAAAGAGGCATGGCTTTTAAAAATACACATTGTATTTTCTACAGAGACTAATCGATAACTTTTATAGCTGTTAGAGACAGATTTTTCCTGAGAAACCTCGGAAGGTGGTTTGGGGGCTCAGTGGCTGCAGGTACCTCTTGTCAGACAAAGATCCAGTTTCTGAGTGCTTGGGTCTCGGGAGTAGAGATGCTGAACAGTCTGCTACATATTCAGCATAGTCTGTCTTACAAAATAAACACAACCTCACTGTATCTTGAAATTATCCCATTTCATAGTACTTCTCAAGGAGCTCACCTACAGCCTCTCGGAGCAGAAGCTACTAATTAAACAATCATGTTTCGCCTACTCTGTCGTCTTTGGTGAGGATTAAACACAGACCAGACCTCTGCTTCTCTTCTAAGGGTTGCCTGCGTTTGGATCAAAAGTGAGTAATCAAGTACACGAGCCAGTTTACAAGTGAGCTGCTTAGCGATGCAATACAGATACAGCTGCATTTTGAATGCCCTCACAGTTCTACTGAATGAAGAAATACAAGAAGAGTTCAAGTTCCCTTGGAATTTTCATAAATATTTGTATTAACAAGGTCATCTGTCAAAATACACAAGTCGAAAATAGATAGGTTCCTGCTCAAGCAAAGCTTTACCTTTTACTAACAGCGTACGTACAGATGTAGCGGGCGTGTGACCTGGCAGTTACACACCCACACGGACACACAGCAAGCTGAAGGAAACCACTGCTGTCTGCCAACTGGAAGACAGCGGAGCATCCCTCTGGTAGATGTTTACTTCCTGTGCCACTTACCAAACCAGAGCTGGCATGGACTGAATCCCCACTGAACCCTAGGGAATGTAATGTCAAACAACAGAACAAGACACATGGGCAGCGTTCGACTGGAGGCTGTTTATAAGAGGGTATCCTTCGGTGGGAGTCAGCAGTACTTTGGAGAACTGGACGTGTTTCTGTGGGCAAAAGGCAGTACTTGACTCCAGAATACTTAGAGCTAGTAGAACTCCATTTTAACAGCAGTTTCTATAAAAGCTTTTTAAAAAAAAAAAAAACCACCCAAAACACAAACCTTAAAAAAAGTGCACAGTACCCAAGTCCCAACCAAGTTCTGTCTGAAGAGAGACAGGTCTAAGTGTTAGATTTGGAACTAGCTTCTGTACTTCCTCTTTTAAACCTCCAACAGCAGATCCAGCTCTTCCAGAGGAACCCGCACTCTCAGTTCTTTCTCAGCCATTAGGTCGAGCGTCTCTTGCAGATCGTCGGGGAAGTACTCCACCGCGTCCATGTAGAGTACCTAGGAAGGCAACGAGAACGTTTTCTGCGCCACCCTGTCACGGCAAGGACCGTAGTACAAAGATGTGTGTAGATATGCTCACACCTCTGTAAGAACATAACAAATACCATCTACCTTCAAGTAATCCAAACAGAATTAGTACTTCTACAGCAGCAGCAATGTAGAAGTTTAATCAAGTCCAACTCTTCTGAAACAATTTTATTCAGAAAGGTAAAACGTAGGTGAAGAGGCGCTGGAGCATTTGCAGCATTACCAGAGGAGCTGCAGGTGCTCTGAATAATGTCTTATACTATTAGCTAAATACATTCTTATTTGCCTATATATGTCTGCTAGTACCATGCTGATGGTAAAACACGGTCTGAAAGACAGAGTCACTTCTTGGTCACACGAAAAGGAATTGATCATCTCCCTGCCTCATGCAACGCAACACCGTTCTGTTCTGAACCGCAAACAGCGCTGACCATGGTCACAGAATCCCAGAATCCTTTGGGTTGGAAGGGACCTTAAAGGCCATCCGGTTCCAACCCCCCTGCCATGGGCAGGGACACCTTCCACTAGACCAGGTTGCTCAAAGCCTCATCCAGCCTGGCCTTGATGTTTGTTTCCATCCCAGATGCATCTGTTACTTGCAGAAAATCTTACAGTACTTCTCCCTCAGAAATCTCGTTTGCATATAGCTCATTACAGCAACTACTAGAGGCTAACTAGTTTTTTTTCAAATGCAGACAAGAACTAGAGTATGATGGCAGGTTTATATTTTTTCTGTGCTTACCTTGGCCCAAGGACAGTTTTGTAGGGCTTTATAAAACAATCCTTTACTTTTTTCTTTTTTTCCCAGCGAAGCCTGCGTGAGAAAAAAAACACATTCATACTTCAGTGCAGTAACAGCTGCAATAATGAACCAGTTGTCTCTGAGAGAAATGACTGCTGAAAAGCTGTGCTCTTCTGCTGAGCCCTTCTGGTCGCGATACGCTGCGGCAGCGGTGCGTTTTGGCAGCTTACGCTGGTGAGACTAGTTAGAGTGTAATCAGAGATGTCTTCAAGGAGCTTAGGGCTTCACCACTAAGACAAGTGACAGAAAAAAGATCAGCAGGA